GAGCTGAGACACAGTTCTGAGCAATGTGACCTCCGGGCAAGACCCTTAGCCTCTTTAAGTCTGTTTCCTCATTTGTAAAATGAAGACACCATAATAATATCTGCTTCACGAAATTGTTTTTAAGATAAAATAAGATTTTTTTCCCACCTACAAATTTACTTTCCTATCAAAAAAAATGTTAAATATGTAAAGGGCAAGGCAGGATGAGACACAATTAAACATCCTAAAATCATCTCTGTTTACCATTATCATTTTTAACAAATCTAACATTTTTTTCTTTTCGTTTTTTTTTTTTTTTGAAATGGAGTCTTGCTCTGTCACCAAGGCTGGAGTGCAATGGCACGGTCTCGGCTCACTGCAGCCTCCGCCTCCCTGGTTCAAGCAATTCTCCTGCCTGGCTAGGAGTTGCACACCACCACTCCTGGCTAATTTTTGTATTTTTAGTAGAGACGGGGTTTCATCATGTTGGCCAGGATGGTCTCGATCGCCTGACCTCATGATCCGCCTGCCTCGGCATCCCGAAATGCTGGGATTACAGACATTAGCCACTGTGCCTGGCCTCATTTATTTCTTAATAAGGCATCTTGATTTACATTTTGCTACTGATTTAGAGCTTATCAAAGTTAATTCTTTCATTCTATTTGCATCTTATTGGGTATCTGAACCAGAATGTGAAATACGGAAAAGGTTATCTGATTTTTTTTTTATGAAAAATGCTTTTATTATTAAAATGGTCCCTTCCATCTGAGATTCTCAGAATATTCCCAAAATTCTGGTTCACAAGTTTCACATCACTTCTTTCAGGCAAATGGGCAACCTAAAACTGAGGAAATCAGAGTGGGCTTTTGCCACTTAAGTTCCCTTGGGAACTGACACAAATAGCAAAGCTAAGAGGCCTGGCTCCCTCTATGCAGCTATGAACATCACACCAGATTCTGTTTGCCTGAAAACTCCTTCTGACTGAGTCTAGATGCCAGTTGTTAGATGATAGTCAATTTGCATGTTGCCAATCTAATATTCTTGGATCCTTAACTTATGTTGCTGCTTTAGAAGTTCAGTAAAACTGAAACTGTCTATTGGTAAGTTCTAGCAAGAATGTGTAAACTAGTTCAGTAGTATCCACTCTGCTGCACACCATAGGCCTGGATGTGATGGTTGAGAGGGGTGGATCTAGCTGCTCTCACCCTCTAAAGGGAAGGTTGAATACCAGCTCACTCCCCTACCTCCTTGGTATGGACAAAAGAATAAATGAAGATACTATCTACTACCTGGATTTATCTTTCTGGTGCCAAAACTTTTCCCTTTAAAAAAGCAGCCCTTGGAAATTATCTTTCCTTTGTGGAAATAAAAATAGCATTTTAAAAGATTCAGCATTTTATACCTACTAAATTAGTAAAATTTTATAATAAATTGCTCAATGCTGGAATGTTAGCAATGAGATCAAATGTTAATGGCATTGAAATTTGTGGGATTATTTTGGCAAGCAATAGAAATATATTTGCAAGAACTCGAAAGGTTTCATTCTTTGAGCTAATAATTCTATCCTGGAGATTTTAGTTTTCAACAAAGGCAAAAAAGCTGTGTTTAAGAAGCCAGTAGTTGCAGCATTATTTTTATTTTTATTTTTTGAGATAGTGTTTCACTCTTGTTGCCTAGACTGGAGTGAAGTGGCGCAATCTTGGCTCCTGCAACCTCCGCCTCCTGGGTTCAAACAATTCTCCTGCCTCAGTCTCCCAAGTAGCTGGGATTACAGGCATGTGCCACCATACACGGCTAATTTTGTATTTTTTAGTAGAGATGGGGTTTCACTATGTTGGCCAGGCTGCTCTCGAACTCCTGACCTCAGGTGATCCGCCCACCTTGGCCTCCCAAAGTTCTGGGATTACAGGCATAAGCCACTGCATCCGACCCATAATTTTTAAAATATTTTCACATATTTTATCAAGTTTGCGTTTCCCAACTCTGCATGGCAGGCAGGACACATAGCATTTTATACATGGGGACACTGAGGCTTAGAAAATGAAGTGATTTGCCCAAGCTCACACAGTTAATAAACAGCAAAGCTGAAACTAAATATTGGAGAGCTGTTTGACATAAAGGACATGAGGAAACGCTCAATGAGTGTTGGCATATCAACTCTAAGATACATAGATTGCGAGGAAAATACCAATTGACTTTTTAAGGGCAGAAAGGAATGTTTTATGAGGTATAAATGGTTAGTGTGCCTGGGGATGCCCACACAATGACCTGTTGAAGAGCCTAATAGCAACTTGGTGAGGCCAGAGTGTGGGATAATTGCAGGAAGATGACTCAGGACCTTGGTACCCAGGCATCTATGAGAGGAAGGCAGCGGGGTGGATGCAGTATCTGATGGAGATTTTGGGTGGAAGAACTAAGGGTGGAACTCGACTTAGATTTTTGGTCCCTAAGTGATCAAGAAAGCTCAGAGGAAAACTTTCAAACTTAGACCTCGGCATAGAAATAAAGGGAACAACTCTTGAGATGGTTTCTAAAGAAAAACTAAGTAACCACACATTGATAACAACCATCATGTTTCCAGCCACCCTGTGGTTCCTGACATGGCTCTGGGCGCCTATGCTCAAGCCAGCAAGCTCAGGCTTCTCATGCTGGGATCTGCAGACTCACCCCCAGATGCCTATGGACTTTCAGACCTGTCTTTCCATTTGATTACTATTTAAAATTAGATTCACGGTTGCAGGTTCTGGGACCTCTGGCCTGCCTCTGAATATCATAACATGGTTTCACAATCTACACTGGCACAGGGTTTAGATGGGATTAGAGCCAAATAATGCTATTTGAATTGTCACAGGCTAGAGGGAAAAAGAATGGAGGTGGACTTACTGTGTAAACAAGTAGAGGCCAAAGGACGTCACAAAGCATTGTATGCAGAAGGTTTTCCTAGTCACTCAAATGGAAAACTGGTGAATAGGCAGAGTTACCACACAGTCCATGTGGTACAGGCATAGAATGCTCTCAAGAAAAAAAACAAAAACAAAAAAAGGTGGGCAGCATGTCCCTTTGCCCAAGAATGACCTTTGTGGTCTCAGAACCCCTTTCTACTCTGACAAATTACTGAGAACCCCAAGAACTTTTGTTTATATGAGTTATAGCTATCAATGTTTATATATTAGAAATTAAAACTGGGAAGTTTCTTTACAAATTCATTTCCTTTTTTTTTTATGACACGGAGTCTCATTCTGTCACTCAGGCTGGAGTGCAATGGTATGGTCTTGGCTCACTGCAACCTCTGCCTCCCAGGTTCAAGTGGTTCTCCTGCCTCGGCCTCCCAAGTAGCTGGGACTATAGGCACATACCACCACACCTGGCTAAATATTGCATTTTTAGTAGAGACAGGGTTTCACTACATTGGCCAGGCTGGTCTCGAACTCCTGATCTCATGATCCACCCGCCTCAGCCTCCCAAAGTGCTGGGATTACAGGCATGAGCCACCATGCCCAGCCTACAAATTCATTTCTAAATGACAATAATAAACCCATTATTAAAATAAATAACACTTTCAGTAAAAATATGTTTTCCAAGACAGAAAACTTTAGTAAAAACAGTGAAATTATTTTACATTTTTGCAAATCCATTTAATGTTTGCATTAAACAGAAGACGGCTGCTTTCTTTTATCTGCTTATCTATTCCACTCATTCTGACATATTGTTTTGGTTGGCATATATGAAGAAAATATGACCTCACATGTATGTATAGTTGGAAAAGGAAAGAGTATGTCCTTAAACTTTTCAGATAATTGTGGATGTGCTTCTTTGATACTGCACTGTAATTCAACAAATGGCAGTCTCTTTCTTTCTTTTTTTTTGAGAAGAAGTTTCACTTTTGTTGCCCAGGCTAGAGTGCAATGGCGCAATCTCAGCACACTGCAACCTCTACTTCCTGTGTTCAAGTGATTCTCCTCCCTCAGCCCCCCAAATAGCTGGGATTGCAGACGTGTGCCACTATGCCCGGCTAATTTTTGTGTTTTTAGTAGAGACAGGTTTCACCATATTGGCCAGACTGGTCTGGAACTCCTGACCTAAGGTCATCTGCCCACCTTGGCCTCTCAAAGAACTGGGATTACAGGCATGAGCCACTGTGCCTGGGCAAATGGTAGTTTCTTAAACATTAATTCCAAGGTAGACTCTGGAACCATATCACTGAACTTTTCAAATTCAACTACATTAAAATTTGTTGGGAGGAGGTCTTGATGTTTGTGTAATGGAGTATACGTTGTTTGCTGAGAAGTGATGGCAAGGAACACTGAGCCATCCCCAGGAAGGAAACTGCTAGAATAAGCAAGCAGTATGTACTGGTCATGCACTAGTTAAACCAGCTCCCAAAACACAGGATATCTGACCTTGTCACCTCTGCTGACTCGCAGAGTGGTTTTTTTAGCTTATTTCTGTCTCAGTAGTGAACAGGCACTATCTGCCTGTTTAGTCTATCTTTATTCTATGAAGAAACACTGAGCACCTGCTTATTAACAATAATCACTTGTTCACAGAGAATAAATACATGGGTCAGAGTCTGCTCTGGGCTATCAACTGGGAAATGCTGGCAGTCTCCTGACATCCCACTTTGATCCCACTTTTGTACTCTATCTTTGTTTCCGTTTCTTAATTCCTTCAGCGCCACCTGGGTTGAGGTCTCTACGACCGAGCTGGCCTCAGCAAAAATTCACTGGTTCATCTTGCATTTTATTTTACTTTTTAATCTATTTTATTTTATTTTGAGACAGGGTCTCACTCTGTCGTCCCGGCTGGAGTGCAGTGGCATGATTATGGCTCACTGCAACCTCAACCTCCCTGGTTCAAGCCATCCTCCCACCTCAGCCTCCTGAGTAGCTGGGACTACAGGCGCAAGCCACCATGCAAGCAAAAGAGCCATTTAAAATGCAAGATGAGACTGGGAGCAGTGGCTCATACCTGTAATCCTAGCACTTGGAGAGGTTGAGGCAGGTGGATTGCTTGAGGCTAGGAGTTAGAGACCAGTCTGACCAACATGGTGAAACCTCATCTCTACAAAAAAATACAAAAATTAGCCTGGCGTGGTAGCTTGAATACAATGACTGCCACTTCTATTTGGTGCCACTGTCTTGATTTGTGTGAAAGTGACAGCAGCTTTACCCACCATTTCTTTAGAATCATCAATACAAATGTTAGCACCATGAAAAAGGCAAATAAGGTCTTAGTATTGTTATTAGAATCGTTTTGAACACACAGATCCATTGAAAGCTTCTCCACATCCCCTGGGGAGGTCTCATGGACTAGATTGGAGAGCCATTGAACTGGGGAAATGTACTTACTTGGTATCATTGTTGATTAAAGTTTTCAGCTTGTTGGATTTTGCCTAGAAGAGAAACAAATTATTTTTGCCCAGTAGAAAAAATAACTCCAAAGTTTATAATTTATTGCCCTATAAAACATTAAGAAATTTTTTTTTTTGAGGCGGAATTTCGCTCTTGTTACCCAGGCTGGAGTGCAATGGCACGATCTCGGCTGACCGCAACCTCTGCCTTCTGGGTTCAGGCAATTCTCCTGCCTCAGCCTCCTGAGTAGCTGGGATTACAGGCACGCGCCACCATGCCCAGCTAATTTTTTGTAGTTTTAGTAGAGACGGGGTTTCACCATGTTGACCAGGATGGTCTCGATCTCTTGACCTTGTGATCCACCCGCCTCGGCCTCCCAAAGTGCTGGGATTACAGGCTTGAGCCACCGCGCCCGGCCTTGGTCTCAATCTCTTGACCTCGTGATCCACCCGCCTTGGCCTCCCAAAGTGCTGGGATTACAGGCGTGAGCCACTGCGCCCGGCCAACATTAAGGAATTTTATATCTAGTCTAGCAATTATACCCAAACATTCCTTTATTAAATTACTTACAAATATCTAGCTTCTCACTTTGGGAGGCCAAGGCGGGCAGATTGCCTGAGCTCAGGAGTTCAAGACCAACCTGGCCAACATGGTGAAACCCCGTCTCTACTAAAAAAAATACAAAAATTAGCCAGGTATGGTGGCAGGTGTCTGTACTCCCAGCTACTCAGGAGACTCAGACAGGAGAATTGCCTGAACTCAGGAGGCAAAAGTTCAGTCAGCCAAGATCACACCACTGCATTCCAGCCTGGGCAACAGAGCCAGAATCTGCCTCAAAAAAAAAAATTAGCTGGAAATAGCTTGAACCTGGGAGGTGGAGGTTGCAGTTGAGCCAAGAGCACGCCTCTGCACTCCAGCCTGGGCAACAGAGCAAGACTCTGTCTCAAAAATATATATATACATATATATATTTATATAGATATATATCATAGATTTATGTTATGTGTATTATAGATATCTATCCATATAATATCTATTATATATATATATATATATTAGATAGATAGATAAATAGATAGACAGGCAGACAGATAGATAGACAGAGATAGATAGCTATCCGCTGGCCATGGCCTCCCAAAGTGCTGGGATTGCAGATCCCACCACGCCTGTCCCACATTCTGTAATTTAATCTACACAAATCCCAGTGAGGAAGATATTAGTATCTAGGGCAGGACTAGGATGAGGGGAGTAAGAGGCCCAGGGTACAAAATTAAGGAGGTACATACACACACACACACACACACACACACACACACACACACACACAGACACAAATTAAGGAGGCACTCCCTGTCAGAGCCATGCTGAGGAAAATGTACCTTCAGAAAGGTAACTTGGCAACAAAGTGGTTAGCAACAGAGATGGGGTCCACCCTGGGGTCAGCCTGTGGTAGCCAAAGTGGATGCATTGAAGTGGAGGGGACCACAGGCTTCCTTCCTATGCGTTCTCCTCCCCTCACCCACATCCAGATGGTGCAGGCCTCTGAGAGACTGCCCAGCCTGTTCTAGAAAGTAACTAAAATCTAACTTCTCCTTCACAGGAGTGCCCTGCTGAGAGAGCCACACTTTAAACTTCTTGAAAGTCTTACAGTAAGGGCCTCTTAAGATTTTCTCAGACAGTCCACTTCTGACAACTTAGTCAGAAAAACCCTCTTAGGACAAAAACGGGAAGTTACAATCTTTCAGAGAGAAGCTAAACCTTCGGTCTCATACTGTGGAGGATGCTTTTGGAGGCCATCACTATCACTGGGATGAGTCTTCAGACCTGTATTTGGGATTGTTTTCCAACATCCTCTTCACCTAAAGGGTAAAATGGCTCTGGGAATAAGTACAGCTCCCCAGCAATGTAGCTTCTCCTTTTCCTGAAGATAGGCGGGCTGAGTGAGCCATGGAACAGAGCATTGAATCCAGAGTGAAAGCCAGCACCTTAGAATTTGGGGGACTTTCTCTGGGAATCCCTGAGGCATTTTCATGAATAACCAACTCAAGGGCAAGAAAGGCCTCAGAAGGGAACAATTAAAGTCTGTTTGGATAACTGTTCTCAGAGCCCCAGGGTAGACTCTAGCAGAAAGCCTCCCCTCAATGCCTGCCCAAGGAAAGGAAGCTGAGCAGAGAAATGAGTTCGTGAGAAGGAATGTGCAAATAAAAAGAAGATCTCTTTACTCAGGAGGCTGAGGTGGGACGATCACTTGAGCCTAGGAGTTCTAGGCCAGCCTGGGCAATATAGCAAGACCCCCGTCTCCACCACACAAAAAAAGTAAAGAAATATAAAATGATCTTTGTGTTCTTTTCCAACCCTGAGACTTAATGATTTCTCTAGAAACATGCTACGGACTTAATTATGTCCTCCCAAATTCCTATGTTAAAATGCATATGTTATTCTCAGGGTGACTAGTATTAGGAGATAAGGTTAAACGATTTCCCCAGGGTGGACCCTGTGTGATGGGATTAGCGTTCTTGTAAGAAAAGACACAAGGAGCACTCTGGTTTGCACAGAAAATCCTCCCCCATGTTTTCTCCTCCTTTGTCTCCCTGCCTCTGCCATACGAGGATACAGTGAGGTGGTGGCTGTGTGCAAGCCTGCAAGAGAGCCCTCATGGAAGCGGACCACGCTGGCACCCTCATCTCAGACTTCAAGCCTCCAGAACCATGAAAAGATAAATTTCTGTTCTTTAAGCCACCCAAGTCTGTGGTATTTTGTTATGGCAGCCCAAGATGATGAATACTAAACACTGGAGCAATCTTTAATGCCCACACTTTATTCAGCTGGAATCCAATGCCTGAGCCTTATTTACGCTATCCTCACTAATCTTGCCTCCATATCCCTTTAATCCTCACCACATAAATTCTCAAGTCACCCAAGTAAACGGGTGATAATTTTTGCTGGCTTTTTTTTTTTTTTTTTTTTTGAGACAGATTCTCGCTCTGTCACCAGGCGCCAGGCTGGAGTGCAGTGGCCCAATCTTGGCTCACTGCAATCTCCGCCTCCCGGGTTCAAGCAATTCTCCTGCCTCAGCCTCCTGAGTAGCTGGGACTACAGGCATGCGCCACCACGCTCAGCTAATTTTTGCATTTTTTAGTAGAGACGGGGTTTCACCATGTTGGCCAGGATGGTCTTGATCTCTTGACCTGGTGACCTGCCAGCCTCAGCCTCCCAAAGTGCTGGGATTACAGGCATGAGCCACCACTCTCGGCCTGAATCACACTTAACCTTTCTGGACATTCATATCCGTGACTGTAAAATGGGGGTAGTGTTAGTTTCTACTTCCCAAATTGCTGATGAGAATCTAAATATCTTTTTTTTCTTTTTTCAGAGACGAAGTTTCATACTTGTTGCCCAAGCTGGAGTGCAGTGATGCAATCTCAGCTCACCACAACCTCCACCTCCAGGGTTCCGGCATTTCTCCTGCCTTAGCCTCCCCAGTAGCTGGGATCCACAACCCCCAGTGGGAGGTACAGTCACCAACCAAGCAAACCAGAGTCAGGATCTGGTTCCTAGAGGCTGGAATTCAAGGAAGCCAGAGACAAGAGAGCCAGAAGGTGAGTGAGTATCCATATTCTTCAATAGCACAGTTCAGTGCTAAGACAGGGCATGAGGACCAGCCGGCATCTTAGTTGGGAAGGAAAGAAGGTATGTGCTGGGCAAGTAGGGCACGTGACAGAGTGGAACTGAAGTAGCTGTCGCTTGCCTTTAGGCCAGCAAGTAAGATTGGGGTGACTCACATACTTTATGATAATGAACAAAATCATTACCATGATATTGTCTTTTTTTTTTTTTTTGAGACAGTCTCGCTCTGTCGCCCAGGCTGGAGTGTAGTGGCGCAATCTTGGCTCACTGCAATCTCTGCCTCCTAGATCCAAGAGATTCTTGTGCCTCAGCTTCCCAAGTAGATAGGATTACAGGTGCGTGCCACCACGCCTGGCTGGATTTTTGTATTTTTAGTAGAGAAGAGGATTCACCATGTTGGCCAGGTCTTGAACTCCCAACCTCAGGTGACCTGGTGGCCTCAGCCTCCGAAAGTGCTGGGATTTTTTTTTAACACCCCCAACCCCTCAACCCCATCCACCATGCAAAATGCAACCAAGGTGGAGAATTCTAAATGTTAATTATGACATCAGAGGTGTGGTTGGGGTCGCCATACAGTCATATGTAGAGCTCCACAGTGAGGCACACGGCCCTTCCTTAGAAGTGCATTGGGTATTAACAGTGATTAAGCATTAATTTGCTTTCCTCATTCTTTCCCCTTCTCCTAATGTGTAATTGAACCTAAGTAATGGTGTATTTGGAGCACACTAGCCAGGCTCCCTGTTCAAGAGCCTTCAGCCTCATCCTAAAGTACACACTTCTCTCCCCCACTGTGTGCTGGGAAGCCAGGTTTCCAGCCTTTGGGTAGCAGAATCTGACTGAATGTTCCAAAGGGGCCCACTCACTTTAACAAGTGACTTTTTTTTTTTTTTTTTTGAGACAGGGTCTTGCTCTGTTGCCCAGGCTGTAGGACAGTAGCAGGATATCAGCTCTCTGTAACCTCCACCTTCCAGGTTCAAGCAATTCTCATGCCTCAGCCACCAAGTAGCTGGGATTACAGGCATATGACACCACACCCAGCTACTTTTTGTATTTTTAGTAAAGATGGGGTTTTGCCATGTTGGCCAGGCTGGGTTCGAACTCCTGGCCTCAAGTGATCCACCCGCCTCGGCCTCCCAGAGTGCTGGGATTACTGGCATGAGCCACCACCACCAGCCACAGGTGACTTTAATGAAGACATCCAAGTGATGCCACCAGGATACTTAGGCCTAGAGACTGAAATGTGAAATCTTGAAAATTCTGTCTCAACAAAGCAACCAAGTGTCTTGTTATTAAAAAAAAAATCATGTTGTGGCCAGGCACAGTGGCTCACACCTGTAACCTCAGAACTTTAGGAGGCCAAGGTGGGATATCACTTGAGGTCAGGAGTTCAAGACCAACCTGGCCAACATGGTGAAATCCTGTCTCTACTAAAAATACAAAAAGTAGTTGGGTGAGGTGGCGCGTGCCTGTGATCCCAGCTACTTAGGAGGCTGAGGCATGAGAATCGCTTGAACCTGGGAGGCAGAGGTTGCAGTGAGCCGAGATTGTGCCACTGTACTCCAGCCTGGGAAACAAAGTGAGACTCTGTCTCAAAAAAAAAAAAAAAAAAAAAAAAAAAAGAAAGAAAGAAAATAAAATATTAAAAAACAATGTTGGGAAAAAAATGTTCTGATACCAGAGAATCTGTTGTAACTGAAAAGGGAAAAAGGGCAAGGATTCCAAGACATGCCTGTTAGAGATTTCCAGCCTGCAGCAATGAGGCAGAGATTGTTCTGGATTCCGTTGACTTTTGCACCCAGAGTTATTTGGTTTGACAGACTGCCAAATCCTGAAGTTCAAAAGGCTGTCACAAGTGGGGAAAGGGGCCAGCATTCTTGGGGTTGGATTCCCAGAATTCTCCAAATATAAGTCTCCAAAAGTGAGCCTCTCATTCTAAGGTCAGCCCCTTCATGATGGTGGTCTGGTTTTAGAGATAGTCCCTCTCCCCACTGCAAAGAATGTTAGGGGAAGTCTGATGATAAAAGCATCAACCATGCTGGCCACCTACGTACTTGAACTTAGGTATGTAAACTTCTCCCGGAAGTCACCAGCACAGTCATGTCTGAGGCTCAAAGGGATGGAGCAACCCCTCACACTGAAGGCAGCTGTTTTCATTAGGCCTGTCACAAAATACACAAAGAGCTAGCATTTCCTCCTTTTAAAAATGTTTCATTGCAGACCAGGCATGGTGGCTCATGCCTGTAATCCCAGCACTTTGGGAGGCCGAGGTGGGCAAATCACCTGAGGTTGGAAGTTTGAGACCAGCCTGACCAACATGGGGAAACCCTGTCTACTAAAAATATGAAATTAGTCGGGCATGATGGCATGCGCCTGTAATCCCAGCTACTCCGGAGGCGAGGCAGGAGAATCACATGAACCCAGGAGGCGGAGGTTGCTGTGAGCCAAGATTGGGCAATTGCACTCCAGCATGGGTAACAAGTGCAAAACTCCATCTCAAAAAAAAAAAAAAAGTTTCATTGCAGACGAGGCGCAGTGGCTCAGGCCTGTCATCTCAGCATTTTGGGATGCTGAGGAGGGCGGATCACTTGAGGTCAGGAGTTCAAGACCAGCCTGGCCAACATGGTGAAACTCTGTATCTACTAAAAATACAAAAATTAGCTGGGCATGGTGGTGCGTGCCTGTAGTCCCAGCTACTTGGGAGGCAGAGGTTGCAGTGAGCCAAGATCACACCACTGCACTCCAGCCTGGGCAACAGAGAGGGAAGCTGTCTCAAGGAAAAAAAAAGTTTCATTGCAGTTAAATGTAAACATCAGGTGAGTTAATGGTAACTTACATATGCTTTGAAGCTTGGTTTCATCTTCAAAACTTTCCACTCTCTTGCCTCATATTCAAACTGTCACCATCTCCTGTTAGATTTTTACTTCCAAACTACCTCTGAGAAACCAACCACTCCTCTTGTTCTCCATTGCTACCACCCCAGCCAGGTCGCCTTCATGCGTCACCTCCGTTACTGAAAAAGTCTCCTAACTGCTCTCCCTACACCAATTCTGTCTTCTCCTCCCTACCCATAAAAGCTGTTCACCACGCTACAGGAAGATGGTTTCAGCACACCTGATGCTGTCCCCACTCTCTCCTTGCTGAAAATCTTTGCTCTTAGGCTAAAACTCAAAACCCTTGCCTCGGCCCCTGCCTGCCTCTGCAACTCCCTCTTGACCTTTTCTCCCCATTTGTC